ATTATCTAAATTAAAGCGGCTGCAATATTTCAAATGGGAGGATGTAGAAAGGACACAGATCGTCCACTTAGTGTTTGGAGTTTATTAGGATGGAGAGCTGAACAGAGGCAGGTTGATGGATAGAGACAGGAGTGAAACAGACTGATCAGGACTTTTCAAGGCCAATACTGATAGTTCTGCATTAAAGATATTTGACTGCATGTTTGTTCAGACATATCCAAGAAAATATTTCCTCAAAAACTGGCCCAAATGAACACTGGTTTCTGATTAAGTTTATTAAAACTAGTTGGTGAAGTGTTAGAAAAAGATAGTGGCCAAAACCCTATTAAACCCTATTAAATTAACTTTGACACAAGCCCAGTAAATAAGTTGAAAAAACCTTATTATATCAGGTTGGACCAACAGAAATGCTTATTGCTGAAAGAAGAAGAAGTCATTTTTGTAATTGAGTGTACGCAGTGCTTCAGTCCTGCAGGCAGAACAGTGGGCATTAAATGGTTAAACATGTTCAGGTTAATGTCTCAACTTCCACAGAAAGCCGTGTAATATTGATTAGTTCTTCACTAAATGTGTAATCGATCAAACTCCATCAGATGGGAGGACTACTGCGGCTGAACTGAATCAGATTTATGATCAAATCTGAATATCAGCTTTTTATATAAATCAGTGTAAACCTCCGCAGGGACCCAGAGGACAAATGAACTTCCTGTCTGAGCCCCATGTGACGGATTAGTCCCTCCGTATAGATGACAGATTGTCCCGCCGGCAGGAAGATCATGTTCAGGCGGCAGAAAACACGCAACAACGAGGAGGAGAACAAGATGTTTCAATTATCTAAATGAGTCCGGGCCAACTGATGGGGATCGCATCAAGCTCCTCAATTTGTTCAATCTGAAAGTCACATTCAGTTTATCTGCTCGGGGAAAGAGGATCCAGACTGTTTTGAGCTTTTTCTGCACAGAAAAAATGAATCTAAGGTGTGTGGGTGAAGACAAAGAAACCCTGAGAGACGTCTGAAAACAGCCCGAGAGGTGATGAAGAAAGAAAGGTTTGGTTTTGACAGCTTCAGGACTCGACAAAGATAAGATCATCAAGAAACAAACAAAAATAACAAGAGAAAGAGATGTTAGATGCTGAACGGAGGCAGGAAAGCGCCTGTAAAATGGCTCGTTAGAGTCGAGAGAGAAGACAACGGAGGCACAAATTCACAATTAAAAGGTTAAAAGTCCTAATTATTCCTTTTGGTTTCTCATTATTTATTTTATTCATATCTCATTAATTATTCTCATTTGAAACTGCAGCATCGTCTGATTTTATTACAAAAAGAAGAGAACAAATGAGAAACATCAAATGAAATGCATCCGTCTGTCTGTCACTGAGTCCTGCGGTCTCAACTGAGTCAATTAGTTCTCCTTCAGAGAGCTCTTATTAGCAAATATCGACATTTGTTTGAGGGGACGAACGGGATCCAGCCCGAGGTGACGGAGCTGATTATAATGAGAGGCCGAGTTGAACTGACCGACAGAAACTGATTTTCTTGATGGAATTAGTCCAGTTTCAAGAATCAGGGGTCTCAAACTTCTAGCCCGTGGGCCATTTACGGCCCTCCGGACCGCAATACAATGTCAAAAATATAAAGATTATTATTGTTTTCTCGTTGTTTCATATAAATAAAATGATAATGATCAAAATTTATACATACACGATTAAAAAGAAATTTATTTTTACTGTCAAAAACTGGCAGCTGTGGTTGTCAGAACTTTACCGTAATAAATACAGTAGAACATTTTCTACTACGACGATAACAGGATATTAATATTGTTGAGTTTGAATCCATATTTTACTGTATAACTACAAGTTTTTACCATCAAAAGAAACAGTTTTGACATGAAAATAAAATAATGATTAATGGTGTGATGGTGAATTTCTGTACAATTTACAGTCTGTACTGTTAAAAAAAAGGGGCGCGTCCACCAGTTTATGTCTACCATCACCAAAGTTTCAAATCCTTTTTTTTTAATTTCCTTTGAATACTTCATCAGGGATGAGTTTTTATTATATTTTTAGGAACTTTTTATACAAAATATGTATTATTTTTAACAATAATACAAACTTAATACATCACACTTTAATTCAGTGTTTTCTTCTCACTGATACTTCGTGCGTCGGTGGAGGGAAAATTACAATGTTTGTCGAGTGCAAAATAGGAATTATACAAGCGCCAGTGTACAAAGTCAATTGCGCTGAGTGCAAGATAGAGCCCTAAGACAGATACTCAGTCTGTGTCAGGGACGGAGAACCTCCCCTCTTCCTCCTCCTCCTCCTCATCTTCCTCCTCCTGTTATGTCACACATTGACGGAGCAGAAAATAAGGAGGCGTGAAGGTGACACGCTCCTCTCTTTCATCACCTCTCCTACCTTGTTCTGTCACACCGAGTGACAAATGAAAAGGAGAGAGGCGGTCCCAGAGGTGACGAGCTCTGCTCCTCCTCTTCCTCCTCCTCTCTTTTCTTCTTCTTGGGTCTACACAAAGAAAATAATTGATAGATATAATAGATATCTTTCTCTCCCCCCTTCACGCTTCCTCTCCTCTTGCTTTATTCAATTCAATTTAATTTTATTTGTATAGAGCAGGTCTACGTTTATCTGTCTTGATCTGAAGTATCGACACTTTCACAGGAGGTACTGGAGTAGAAATTGAGATGTGTTTTTGTTTTCTTCAATTTAATGTTTAATTTAGTGACATGTGATTGGCCCACAGCTAGCAGCTACAGCTAGTGGCTAGCAGCTAGCGGTTAGCAACAACAGCTAGCAGCTACATACAGTCTGTGGTGGTGAAGTCAAGTGCGATGTATTTGACGTTACTAAAAAAAGGTATTGAATAAAGTTTTAAGACAAAAACAGACTGATTTTGGTTGTGATCAGCAGCTCATATATTTGTTCTGCCTGTATAAGCTGCTGTTCAGTACAAATATCAAACGACTTTGTTATAATTTGACTTTGAATGGATGTGTCGTTACTTTTACCCGTCAGTCAACAGTTTAAACTTAAATAGTTTGTGTTCTTCTTTATTATAATGAATCTTGTAATTATGTAACTGCAAACATATTATGTCCTTTATCTTCATTTAATACATCAAATTCAAATTTAAATTTTTAAAACATTTTTTTTTCATTTTTAATTAATTTAAACAATTTTAATTCAGTTCTAACACAAGTTTATTTCATTTAGACTTAATTACAGTTATTAAAATTACATTAACTCAATTCATGAATAACTAAATATTATACAATAATATTAATACTATTTGTTTATTTATTTTAAGTTAAAATCAAACAAAGGACATAAAAAGGACAAATGATAATATGGTCCGTATATGTACATACATCAGTGTGGAAACTCACATTGTTAATGTTGGTTCATTTGTTTTATTCTATTGTAATTTCATATTGGAATATTTGTGTGTGTGTGTGTGTGTGTGTGTGTGTGTGTGTGTGTGTGTGTGTGTGTGTGTGTGTGGGGGAGTACACAGACAGGTGTGGTGTTAATGATTCAGAGACTCCGACAAACCTGGAGGATTTCTTCGTCTCCTTTTACCAGCAAGTAATGAAAATATGAAGCGCCTCTCTGAGCCGCCTCAGTGTGTGTAAGTGTGTGTGTGTGTGTGTGTGTGTGTGTGTGTGTGTGTGTGTGTGTGTTTTATTCCTTAAATCATTAATTTGCTGCTCGGAGCCAAAAGCAGCCCCGATGTCAATTCTCATTCAGCGAGACAAGGCCGAGACAAACTGCCTGCTCTAATGAACAAACACTGACACACACATGCAACACACACACACACACACCTCTCTCTCTCTCTCTCTCTCTCTCTCTCTCTCTCTCTCTCTCTCTCTCCTCAACACACACACACACACACACACACACACACACACACACACACACACACACACACACACACACACACACACACAGGTGGCTTTATTTAGGGCTTGTTGGAGACATTTCGTTTGAGTCCCATTTCCCGAAAGTAATTTACACCTCGACGTCTGAGCAGTGGACGCTGTGGAGGAGGAGCTCCTGATGTAACACTGCAGGTTGAAGCGCTCAGAAATAAATGGAGGTTTGGTTCAGCTCGATTTGTTACACAACCTCTCATATTTAAAGTCCACATGAAACAGAAATCAGAGAGCTGTTAGCTTCCTCATATTTATGTATTTTCTGTAAATAGCGCTGTGTTAACCCCCCCCAGTTCAGCAGATGTAGTGGATTCATTAGTGGACTCTGTCGGACTGGGAGCTCCCAGTGAACAGCGGGTCCAGCATCTGATGCTGACGGAGGACAGTTTGACTGCAGCGAATAAAGGACTGAGGGGGTTTTATTGCCGGTTAACAGTTGGCTAACATTAGCTGCACAAACTAAGTAGCTAACGGCATCTAACGTTACAGTTTTGGGACAATTAACTTCTGTTAGCAAGTCCATCTGGAAACTCCATAAATGACCTCAGTACCGCTGTCGTCAAACTGTCCCTGAGTTTTTGTGAATGTTTTGTCACCCATTGTTAACAATATAATATATATGAGAATGTGATCTTAAAGGGTTGATTTCATTTCACCTGGATTTTAAGAGTACGTGTCCTCCAACACCATCCTGAACAGTTAGTTGTCCAAATAGGATGTCAGAGAGTGATTCATCATAGCATAGAAAATGTTTGTTATATATATTGATGATATATTGATGATAACCTCTGTTTGTTATTTCTCACTGCTCTGTGTTTCTGTCACCTGTACATTGTACGGATAAAGAAAACAATAAATACATTTATATTTTACCCAGAATAATTCATAATAATAAAGATAATACAGCTTTGAAACAGATTTGACTTGACTTGGTTTTGCTCTGTGACCTGGTAGTTTAATATGGAGCTAACTGCTAGGCTAAATGCTAATCCCTCATTTATATCTGCAGACAGAGAGGATAAACCAGTCTCTCTCTCTTTCTGACAGCCGACGCCCACCATGACCTGCTGACATCACCACGCCCCGTCCTCCCCCCTCCTCCTCCCCCTCTCTCTCCTAACAAAATGGCTCCATCCGACTGGCTGTTACTGTGGCGGCCGCCGCTGCTGCTGCTCATCCTCACTTCCTGTTTCCCGTCCGAATCGGCCTCGACCACGCCCTTCCCCAAAGACCTGGAGCCAATCAACGTGGTCAACTCAGACCGTGAGCAGACTCTCTCTTTGATTGGTTCTATTTCAAATGTGGTCGTTTTATTTGTTTCTCCATTACAGACTGTTTACAGTCATTAACTGGTAGCAGCTTTGCCAACAAAGTACCTTATTTTAGACTTACACAAGCATACCCTGCTTTATGGTCTGTTTTACTCTAAATGGGACCATCAGTTACTAAATGAACATCATGCTGTATGGAAGAAGACTGAAACTAGAGATTAAGACCACAAACTCATCAGGAAACTGTTTACTGAGCTCAACAATCAACTTCTCCATAAAACCCAATACTATCAGCCCATTGAGCTGCCCCCTGCTGGCTGTTAGAGAGAATGTAGGTTTGAGACACTTCCTGGAAGCTCTGTCTCTGTATTTACATGCTTACTGTTCTCTCGTTCTGCAGAGTCCTATCAGTTTCCAGGTTTTCAGGGTTTGCTTCAGGACAACGACACACTGCGTCTGGGCCTGGACTTCCAGAGGTTGCTACGCATTAACCATATGTTGTACATTGCCGCCAGGTCAGTAAACACACACAAAATAGATGTCTAATTCAGATGTTTTCAGCAGTTTGATATCCAACAGATCAGGAGTAGGACCAGAGGTTTTGGGTTTAGTTGTTCAGTGTCAACAGGTACTTTGTCTGGAGCCATTTTGGTGTTCAACATTCAACAATCGCATAGATGGAAATCCACTGAAGAGAAAGGAACACATCAAATAATGCAGTGCAGAAGTGGGACCAAGTCTCAAGTGATTGCACTCAAGTCTCAAGTCATAATGTGGCCACCTTGCAGTTTTTGTACACAAACGAAATGATCTTTGGTTGTTATTTTGTCCAACTGGCACTCCATAACGTAATATTAGTTCTGTGCGGTTCTCTCCTGCGAGTTGATTGGACGCTGGCAGATCGGTTCAAACAAAGTGGATCTGTGAAATGTAATGTCGACTGGGAATGAATAGTGTGAGTTGATTCAGGAAATGATGGGAAACTAATTGGTTCGTGGCGCACTGTTTGGACTTGGGTGAAGGTATCAAGTATTTTCAAGTCAAAGTGAAGTCATTGGTGTTAAAGTCTGAGTCGAGTCTTTTTTTGATTTTTTTCAAGTCGAGGCTAAATTTCTGCCTTGAGTCCAAATCATTGGACTCGAGTCCAAACCTCTGCAGTGAAGCGACAAGTGTTGTTCCAATCTGAGCAACAAAGTCTTGAGTGAAAAGTTTCTTGATGATCTATTTTCAACCTTTAAGAGCAGGCCAAAAACTTCCAACTATCCGTATACTGTATAAATATTATGCACATTGAAGGAAATATTGACAGATATCAGCATAAATGATGCAACATTTTTTTTCTAACTTTCTTGCAAATATTGTATGTTTGACTTCATCCTCAGTTTAGTTTTAAGGCTGCAATTACAAAGTCTGTATCTGGATTAACTTTTGAATTTCATGTGTTTTTTGTGGGATGTTATTTTAACTGTAAATTAGATGCTTTGATCTGATTTAAATTTTTCTGTTGCCTTCTTCTTCGGTGTGTAAAAGGGAAGATTAAATTGTAGACATTCACTAACTGCAGTAGAGGAAGATTAAGTCAGGATACTAAACAAGTGAGGACAGGAAGAACAAGAACACACGTACAAAGACATGGACAGACATGATGGGATGTACTACATATATATGTTGACTGTGCTTTGAACTCTTCAGGGATCACGTGTTTGCTGTTAACCTGACGACAGCTTCAGAGGAGTTCGTACCTCAGCTGGTGAGTAGAATTATATGATAAACACTTTATTTTTTGGATTTGTTTCTGGGAAACAAACATCTTTCTGCGTCCAGGTAGACGGGCAGGTTACAGCTTTTGGTTTGAAGACAAACTCCAGAGGTCCTTGAGTTAGAAGTGATGTGCAGTCGTTTTAGCACTGCATTAATGCTATTTAACAGCGATAAAAATGCAGGACAACTGATGCTAACAAACATTAACTCATTGAGCAGGAGGAAACCTCAGTAACAAGCTGACTTTCATGGAAATCTGAAAGAAATAAAAAAAATTGAAGGGCTAAATGCATCATCACCCATAACCATTACTTTGTGACACTTCAAGCCAAGTGGAAAGTTGTCATTGGAAACTGCTTGGCAGGAACTTCAAAAAAAAATAGTGCCAGGTGATTGGATGAACCATCCATCTATCACTGTCTATCATGGGCGAACTTCAACCCATCAGATCAATGAACCATATAACGTAGTCAAACTCTTAATGAAACCAGGCGGGAGAAGAGAGAAAACATCTTGTCTATTGGGAAAGTGAAGAAATATTCTCCAATTCTGATATAGCTGCTGCTAACTTCTTTAGCAGCAGCCATTGTCACAGTCACGTCTCAGACACACCGAGCATTAAACTATGCCTGTAGCTGATTGGTTCGAACCACTGTGGTTAGACACAAGTAAATTGAAGCCTGGCAAGAATGATTATGGCGTGATCTTGTGTTTTTCGAGATCCAACTTCCAACCGGACAGAAACTAAATAAAACTCACCAAAACCGTATTTGTTAGTCCTTCCAACAATCAGCAACTCCAGTTTGGTTGAAATAAACCCTTAAATCACTGACGTAGAAGAGAAAACAGACCTTTCAGGCTCTAAAAACCCTGCTTTGTTAGCTTCTCAGTGTTGACCACAGACCACACCCACAGAGGTCAGCATAGACTCTTCTCTGCCATAATATGATTTTTTAGCTTCTCTTCATCAGTTTTGCTGGGTACATTGAATCAACATCACAGTCACGTCTACGCCACAGCTCCGCTCCACTGTGATTTAGTCTTACATAAGAATCTTCCCCTCAAAGCTTCGAGAACGACATCAAACCTGACAGCTGACAGCACAGCAAAAGAGCCTTTTTACTTTTTTGCACAATAGACGCAGTAAATATCAGAGCGGCAGAACAAAACTAGAGCAGCTCGTAATGTGTGAGGCGGCACAAAAGGACACGTTTGCCTTTGATCAGCACACCTCCTCCTGATCAAAGGGAAAAGGTTACAGGTTGGCTCTTGGTAGTAATGTTCCTCTCGGTGCATTGTGGGACGGCCTACAGCAGCTCTTTGATGTGAGCTGTTATTGTCGTTATCAGTGATCCGACCTCAGGACCACATCACCTCCTGCTCCACCATTCATTCTCTGTTTGTCTTTAAAGCTAAGTTTTAACATTTTAATTATCGAGAGGGCAGTTTGAGTTGTGGATGTGTCTCTCAGCCGGAAATAATCGCTATCATTACCCTCAATGGAGATTTTTCATGTATTGTTCCAGAATGGATATTCTTCTCTATTGCATGTCAGAGGGAACAATATCTTCTTATTATATATAGTGACCATTGAGGGAACAAAGAGCCAGAGAACCAAAATGGATGCCTGTAAGATCACTAGAATCCATCTTGCCAGGATTCAAGGTATGCACTTGCGATGTAACCACAGTGGTTCAGACCAATCCACATTTTTTTAAGAACTACAGGCAGTTTAGCGCTAGGTATGTGATGAAGTGTTTGAGAAGTTTGCTCGAAAACAAGTAGTTAGTAAGTTGACCTTGAGCTGAGAAATATTTTATCAATCTGGTTTTGAAAGAACAATCAAGTTCAAGCTCACCGCTGGTTCTGCCTCTTTATTGATTTTTATTTATAAATGAATGTCACTCTCATCAGGTGACTCTCAGAGATTTAAACCTAAAACAAATCTGGCACCAGCACCATATTTGTGGTGTAACTTTACTCACCGGTGGCTGGCGACATGTATCTAAACTGCAGCCTCAAGAACTGCTCGCTGACTCACCTGAAGTGTTCCTGCACTCAGATAATGACTCACTCTCCTCCTCACCTGGGTGCTCGCAAACGTTTACATCTCATCAATAGGGCTTCTTGCACAAGCGACTCCACGGTGACGAGAAAATTATACCTTTCACACAGATTGCATCCTGTGTTTCTTCTTTCTGTGTTCCAGAAGCTGACGTGGCGATCCAAAGACGTCAGCAAGTGTACCGTCAGAGGGAAGAACAGCGTGAGTTTCCACCTCTTGCCTCCTACTTGTTCTTCATTTTACAGTTTAATTTTCTGTTCACAGGTGAATGCTTTAACACATAGACATAGAGTAAAATATGCAGATGAAATCAGACACATTTTCTTAGTTGTGTGGAGAGACTCCAAACAAAGTGTTTCATCCCTGAGAGCCTGTTAAGACCTGATATAAACATGCGTTTTCAGTGATCCGATCACAACGGTACGTCAGATTACACCTGGCATTAAAATACGCCACGAGTTAACACTTGGATTGGATCTCACTTTTCCGATCTATGCACAAATGAACACAATAGGACTGTATTCTGCTCAGATGTCCATTATTACTATCCTTTTGCCTGTTCAGTACAAACATCTGACTATTCGTTGCATGTCTCTAGCCCTGCATGATGCTAATGCTAATAAACTGACCTTTATGAGCATGACACAACTGTGTGAAAATCTGATGTTTTCACCTCACAGATGACAAAGAATTAATGCCAGAGAAAAATAAAGTGTGCATCCAGCTCGCATTCACGGAAGAGCCACTCAGTGGACAGCAGGAGAGGAAGTTGTTCTTCCGACATGCTGGGACAAATGGTCCTACACAAAATAAGACCTCATGAATTTCTGTTGTAGACAGAATTTTACAGGTGATCAGTACTGAGGTGGTTTTCTTGCTGGGTTTGGCTCCTGGCATCCCGGGGCTGAGTCAGTTAGGTTAGCAGTTTGCTACTTATCAATCTTTCCATCAGGAAACATTGTGAATGACCTCAGTACTGTGACGTTATTCCCTGTTAGTCTCAGAGGTCCTTTAACAAGTAGTTAAAGCTGTCTGTCCATCAGGAAACTCTGTAAATAAAAAACAGAAAATATTGTGAGTATTGTGTCCGTTGAGTAGACAGTTCTTCAACGTGGTCCAGGACACATCCGCATTTACACTATAAAAGATATGAGTCTCGGCGGTCGTTTATTTAGAGCTATGCACTTGTGATCCGATCACCCAAGACGCAGGTTGATATCAGGAGTAAACAGGGTCTGACAGACTTGATAAATGAGAGCCATTGCTACTTTTTTCTTCAAAGTTCACTGACACTAAAGATAAAGGTAGAACGACTCTCATGGCTTCAGGAAAACAATCGTATTGAAGACGTTTCATCCTTGTACAGATAAGATTTTATCATTACGTGATGAATGAGGGTTTCCATTTGTTGGTGTGTGTCTGTGTTTCAGGACGAGTGCTACAACTACGTCAAAGTGTTGGTGCCTCGAAACGACGAGACGCTGTTCGCCTGTGGTACCAATGCGTTCAACCCCACCTGCCGAAACTACAAGGTAAACTCACCTGTCCCAGCCTGAAAGGAAAAGACGACCAGGCCAACAGCTGTTACATTTATTCAGGAGACAGTTTTGTCCAAGGGACTAATATGTTGGTGCTTCGGTGTAACAGTACCAGAGCTTTAAGTGTTTTTACCCATTAATTAAAGCTCTTTTCCAGCTGGATACGTATTGATTTCCTACTTTGTAGGCAGTAGTGGTGGGAAGTAACTTAATGCAGTAACTTAACACCCTGTCAAGCTTGACCACACCTCTTTCACAAATGCAGTGAAATCAGTATTTTGCTCCAGCGTCCCTCCACCTCCCTCCTGTCTAAACCTTTTCAGTCGTCAGTCTACCGGCAGCTTGTTGGTTTAAGTTTCACTCTTAACTGCAACCCAACGTCTGTCGGTGAAAAACAAACCAGTGCTTGTCCTGGATATTGCTGATATACAGACTGACCAGAATCAGTTGATTAAGAATTATTAGGCAGTACACTATTATATGCAACCGTATCCGTACTTGAAATGGGTGTGGCTTAAACCTGGTGTGGGCGGGACTAATTAGAAGTTGTTAATTTAATTTCTCCAAACTTATTTGAATTGTTTGAACAGAATCTGAATAAAGTAACTTAAATTAATCTTCTTCATACAAATGTTACCAAGTTAAATTTACTCAGTTTTCTTCTTCTATAAAAAATCATTACAAATGATTACCCCAACTGGTTGAGGCAGACGACCACCCACCTAGAGCCGAGGGGTCTGTCCAAGGTTTCTGCCTCCTTAAAAGGAAGTTTTTTCTTGCCGCTGTCACCAAGGTCTTGCTCATGGTGGGAATTGTTGGGTCTCGGTAAATAATGTTATAAGGAGTTTGGTTTAAACCTGCTCTATTTGAAAAGTGTCTTCTTATTACTTCTACAGTTTATTTTTGAGTTTAATTCATGGGATTGGTTTATGTTTAAGTTTTACAGTGTACTGAATTTAGTTTATAATTAATTGATTAATGAACCCACAACAAATGGAGTAGCAGCAGTTTAAATATAATCTTCCCTGAACAACATGAGGGTGCTCACACATTGTGTGTTTGCACTTTTTGCTAACATGCCCATTATCCTCTCAGCTGTTGGAATTTCCAAACACACTGTTGCTACCGTCGGGTTAATGAGCAGAGAGACGGGGCGCAGGGACGAGGTGACTTTCACTCTGATGGCGCCCCCCTTCCGTTCAGTGGCGTCTGCTCCTAATTGAAAGTGTCAGGCAGCTCAAGACGCCTCGTCAAGACCAAACACAACACCTTCACAAAAGCCACAATTTCAGGTGTCAATTCAGAGTCGTGTTCCTTTTCTTTTCATGCCGCCGCGGCGCTCAAAGTTTGATTGACAGACGCTGACCCCGTTTAGTAGAAAAACAACACCTGAAGAAGAGGAGCTCCTCTTTCTTTCTTTCTTTCTTTCTTTAAGAGTTTAAAACGAGACACGCAGCACTTGGAACAACAGCGATGCCTGCTGTCGTTTTATGATTGATGGTACAAAATAAAATTAGCTTGTGAAGGAGGTTTCTCAAGATGCTGCAGTTGTAAAGAGAATCAGTAACAAAGCTTTAATTTAGGATTAAAGTGGTCTTTAGTGAAAGCTCCAGAAAAATTGATATTGATTTCTTGAGTTGTTGTTCACACTGCTGAGTCAACTCAATGACTCCGAGAGCTGCAAGAGAACCGTGTTATTATACGTCACTGAAACTGAACTGAAGAACTAAAACTAGGTGCGGTTGGATCATCAGAGTCTTCACCACCATTGGCGTCATTGCAGTCAGCTTCTCCCGGTTAGGATTTCTTCAGTGTTCATGGCTCAGGAGGTTTCTACCGGGAGCCCAATGATCCACAGAGGTCTCCTCCTCTCCAAAACAAAAAGACCCGCTGATTAAAACCATTAAAGGTTAACAGACGACCGGTGAAATGCTCGTTACCTGGATAAAAAGACAGATGTTGTGGATGAGTTTGTAAGAATGCTATTCAACTACATATAGAACATAGGATAGAGTTTATAGACATTTTAGTGCAGAAATATTACATATTATAGCTTTAACTATAAAAATATAATAATAATATTGTCTTTCACTTACAAAACTAATTTAAATAAAATAAACAGGAATGAAGGCCTTGGTCAGTGTGTTTCTATTGTAACATAGTGTGTTTCTGACAACTACATATAGTCATTTTAAAAAGTGAAACTAATAAAAACTAAATCATGCCTGTGAACCATCAGGACCTTTCAGGCCAGAATTCATAACCTTGATTCTGGAAACTTCCTGTTGTGATTTTCATTGGACAGCAGCAGGTCATCATGAGCGCTGCGTGATGTCTCTGAATAAAGACGCCGTTCAGTCCCACTGAGGGTTTCTTTAAATTACACCTGCGTGTGACAGCCGACGTACACAGACACAGATAGTGATGGAAATGAAGGTCAACCGCTACTGAATGTGACTGCTAAGCAGAAACTTACAGAGATAAATGAGGAGGGAAAAAAAATTTAATTCAAGTTTGCGATGACATGTTTGATTTAATTTAGGTAAGATTCACGCTGAATTCTACAGTGTCACACCAACTGAGATGCAGTTGTTGTGGATTAAAGGAAAGAGGAGAGCGAGGAAGAGGAGCGGTTTGGTATCGCTTTGTGATGGAGAAGTCCCGGAGTCAATCCGAGCGAGGGCGAGCGAGCTAGATAAAGTATTGAAAACAGAGAGCGAGGCCGGTGGAGAGAACGGGGTCTGAGAGTGCAGCGCTCGCAGCTATAAACAGATTCAGCTCCCTGAGGGGTGAAAACAGCAGACAGGTGTATTTATGAGGCTTTTCAGGAGGCTAAACGCTCCCACAGCCTCAAGCCTCCGTTAGCAATTCAGCTACCGTAGCTTAGGAGCACAGTGTTATCTACGCAGCTGCCGGGCTGACAGTGAAATATAATCAGAGTCCTATCGGCTGAGCCAACATGTCAATAACGTTATCAGCAGCATAATTAGCTCAGATACTCGGCTGTGAATAAACAACACATATCAAAGTAGCTAGCGTGCTGTCAGTAGCTCTTTTTTAAACTAGCACTTCATTTTGTTTTACTGTTGTTTTTTTTGACTAAATTCTTTGTCTAAAAGATAAAATAGTATCCAAAACAACAAAACAAAAAAGGTTCCACCTTAAAAATCAATGCTTCTCCCACGCTGTTGGACAGACTAAAGGATACCTGCGAGCCGAGCTAATGCTAACGTTAGCTCAGCTTGTTTCTCTGATAACTTAAGATCCAGACTAAAATCCTCCATGTGGGTTCAAATCTAGAGTTAAAAAGCACCGAGATCTAAACAGTGGATGGTAAAAATGCTGGTTAAACCTGGTTAACAGCTACTTAGGCTAAAGCTAACTAGATTATGATATTGTGCTAATGTAGTGAGTCGAGCTGCTGCTAATGTTAGCTCAGCTTATTTCTCCAATAACTTCAGATCCAGACGTCAACATCAATTCTTTTATTGTGACACATGAGTAAAACACTGAATATAAATATCTAAATGTTGCATTAGAAATCAATAAATTGTTTTACCTCCAAATCTTCTGACATTTTTTCCTTTTTTATTCAACTTAAAGCTAAAATGTGCTGACAGCACTGTCACCGTTATCTTAAAGTTGGTAATCATTTTATTATTTAGCCTATAAAATGATCCGTCCCTGTACTATTTAATCTGTCTGTTTATGAGAAAGTGTGTGTTCTTTTGTTTATCTAATGTGTGTCTAAATTGTGTGTTTGATGTGAAAGAGAGAAGCTTGGTGACAACAAATAGAACAAAAAGCAACTCTCTTTATTTCGCTCTGAGATTTGCGTCAGACAAAAGGTGAACAAGGTCAGACTGTGACTTTTTATTTCAGACCTGATCAGATACTGATCACATCATCAGCGCATTATCAGCTGAGCTGTCAGCAGATCTATCAGTGTATTATTAGCTCGGGTACAGTAACATGCAGCGAGTCCCTGCTGACTGACACCAGCTGATTAGCAGCATTATTATCCTCCCTGCTGACGCGCCGTGAATAATATTAGCACACATTATCCACAATTTACCAAACTAGAACTCACTGACTTTATAAAGGAGGTAGCGAATGACGGGGTAGTGGAAGCTTTTAAAACTCCATATTTCGTGTTTTGTTCGAAAATATAAGAAATGTTTAATGTGTTTCCTCTTCCTTGCCTCAGATGACCTCCTTGGAGCAGGTCGGGGAGGAGGTGGTCGGTCAGGCTCGCTGTCCCTTCGAGTCCGGTCAGTCCAACGTTGGACTGTTTGCTGGTGAGTCAAAAGTGACTCTAAAATCATCAAAAAGCCACATAAAACTAAGACTGCTTTCAATTAATCTAATTAAATGGGTTTCTGCTCTTTTATGCAGCTCAAGACATATTGTGATATTTATTGATGTGAATAATTAGTGAGATTGAACAATTTATTCATAAAATACGCAATTATTCACAGTACAGCCTGCAGTGATATGCTTAGTTATCATATTCACACACTCTGCTCAATGCAAGTATAACGAAATAGGGAAAAAATAACATTTGATAGATCAAATTTACCCAAACAACACAGACAACTATGTAAATCTGGAAAGAAAACAAAGGATAAATATGTCTTGATAGATTGACAAATCACAAGGGCCGGTTCAAATCTATGACAATGATTACAGTTAAACTACAAATCCATCTATTATACATACACCCAGTGCCCAAAATGGGCCAGTACTCACCGGTATTGAGTACCACGCACTTCTGTACACGAGTATCCTCACTGAGGTCCGGACTTCAAGGGTTTAAAATAAAAGTAGTGAAATGCCTAAAAATAACTTTACTTTGGTCAACTAGGAAAAAATACATTTATGACTCAATAACAGACCAAAGTACTTTGTACTAAAATGGACATGTATAAAGGTCCATAAACATGTGTCTCTTTCTCAGGTGGAGATTTTTACTCTGCCACCATGACGGATTTCCTGGCCAGCGACGCCGTCATCTACAGGAGTCTGGGAGACGGTCGACCCGTCCTCAGGACCGTGAAGTACGACTCCAAGTGGCTCAGAGGTAGGTTGCACTGTTTGAGCCTGATGGTTAACAACTTGATGAAAACATTTCTTACCACGAGACTCAACTTACTTGTTGTTTTCCAAAACTTTTCAACCACACTGTGACATAAACGTGACATTAAATACTTGAGCCTTGATTGCCTAAAGACTTGACCTGAGCAACGAAAGCTTAGTCAACTCTGACGTTTTGTGCCGGTAACATCCACGACAGCTACCTTCATAACAACAGCAAGTCCACCCATGAAATTTACTGATGAAGTTATAGCTTATAGCTTACAGAGATTAGCTTGTTTTTCTTTGCTCTATGTCATGATAAACTTCAATACATGTGGCCCTACGCTTCAATATATGACGCTGTAGGTACAGCAAATGAGCGGGGTAGTGGAAAGGACAGAGCTTTGGTCTCACACGGGGCACCAACAGCAGTCACCTGGGTTAAAGTCCTGCAGTTGTTTTGTTTTGTTTGAGCCATCCATCCACCCAAACAGCCTTTTTCACTCTTTATACTATGCCAGCTGACTTTGACAGTGGCCACGTCCATAAATAACGCTAGAGGGATACTCACAGCATTATATTTTGAAGCAGAGGGCCACTGACCAAGCGACAGTACTTTACGGGTTGTAGGGAGACATGTTTAGTCTCTGGTGGCTTGTGGTCTTTTTACATTTTATGGACATGTAGAATCATGCATGCTAAAATAAAAGTGTCCTTTCTTTATCAAATGGAACATGGAAGCTTGTTTCAACCTATCTTGCAACCCGTACATAAGGACTCGCACATTTATCTGCAATTTCCAAACGTCAGTCAATTTTAAAAAGTGATACAGCCTCCATTTGCAATCTGTTTCGAATCGTTGCTCACAAATTGGTCCTGTGAAAGGCCTCAGTTTGATGGGGCTCATCAGTCGTGTTTCCTCTCTGTGGGATTTTGAACGGCATCCTGGGAGGTAAAGGTAAAGCGTCTGAAAAATAACAGCATTTTATCACACGATAACTGCTGGAACGTGTTGAACATGACAGACTGATGGTGAGGTGTTACATTGAAAGAAGATATGAGGAGAGTTTTACCTTGAAAATGGAAGAGATCAATAATCACCTCCCCTCCTCTCTGCAGAGCCTCACTTCCTGCACGCCATCGACTACGGTAACTACGTCTACTTCTTCCTCAGTGAGATCGCAGTGGAGTACACCGCCCTGGGCAAGGTACGTCTGTGTGTGTAATGGGAAAAGGTGGTGGAAACTCTATCCCAAACTGTGAGGATCAATATTATACATCAGTTAATGGCCGTGAAGTAACTCAGTTCTGATTGGCTGTGCATCATGATTAGAGGCGTTTTATAACGGGAAGGTCGTAGTCTGGTCGGCCCAGATTTCTACACTCACACCAGTTATTTAAGGATTAAAGGTTCAGTGTGAAACATTTAGGAGAATCTGTTGTCAGAAATGGAATATAATATTCATAGGTTTGTTTTCATTAGTGTACAGAGGGAGCTGGTCCTCTTCTACGGAGTCCGCCATGTTGAACTGTCGTTTCTCCTTCGTTCTTCGTTTCCCGGCCACAGTAGTTTCTCATACATACTCAGAAGGCTGAGTTGTATTCAGTTGATTGCAATTTACAACTTCACCACTACATATGCCACATAATCCTAAACACTGACCCTTTAAAAACTTTCATCAGCTATCCAAAAAATATCTAATAAAAATAAATGCATCCACGAAAACTCTCTCCTTGTGATTCTGTTCTCGCCTTCCTTTAAACAAAAACATCTTGCACCAGTGACGTTTGTTAGTTTCTTCATTCTTACTTCGTTCTTTATACGTTCCAACTAAATAAACAAACTGACTTTCCAGATCATATTTTAAAACTATTATAATATTACTGATCAAAGCCTAACTTTTTGGAAACACCTTAAGGTTCCCATTGTTGGAACCATTAAGATAAATTTCAAGATTCAAGATTCAATACTTTATTGCCATTCAACTCGGTGCAAGTTGCTAGGGATTTGCTTCAGTGTGCTCAAGACATCAACAAAGTCAGAAAAAAAGGACACAGAACATGTAAATACATATACAACACAAGGGCCCCAAAACATATAAGTACATATACGGTATCCCAAACAGGATCACACTTGACGCAGGCAGATAAAAAGGCATACTGTTCACAGCATACCTGGATGACAGTCCAGAAGGCTAGAGTGACAGATGTCAAGTTAAAGTGACATGGTGCATAGGGATGCAGAGTGCAACCACGACTTTACAATAAATAAATCAATAAAACTAGTATGGGTAGCATAAACCCATATAGAGAAGTATTATAAAAACAATGTAAAAGATATACAATTTATACATGCTCATTGGGAGAACCTTTTTTCCTAAGGTACTGGTTCAAGGATGAAGAGCTGTTTAGATATTTAATGGCTCTACAGTATGTGCTGTTGAGAAAGCGGCAGGTTTTTGTCTTAATAGCCCTCAGCCTTCTCCCTGATGGGAGGATGGTGAAGAGGGAGTTGGCAGGGTGAGTTTCATCTTGAAGGATCTTTAAGCCTTTCTGGTGGATACGGGCCTCGTAGATCTCACAGATGGGGGAGAGTTTGCAGCCAATGATTTTTGAGGCCGTATTGACTATCCTGTCCAGCTGCAACCTCTACTGAACAGTAGAGTTGCCATACCAGACAGTAACAGAAAAAGTGAGGACACTCTCAATGGCGGCTCGGTAGAACTGCAACATTCCCTTACAGGCCACCCCAAATTTCCTCAACTGCCGAAGGAAAAAAGCCTCTGGTGGGCTTTTTTGGTAATGTTGTTTATGTTATCCTCCCATTTTAAAGAGGATGATATTGTAGTGCCTAAAAACTTAAAACTGTCCACATGATCCACCACCTCTCCATTGATGTACAAGGGCTGGGACGCCTTCCCACTTCTGCGGAAGTCGACCACTAGCTCCTTAGTTTTGGAGACATTGAGCTCTAAGTTGTGGATGGAACACTATTCAATCAGTGAGAGGACCTCATTTCTATAGGCATCATCATCATCCCCAGAAATCAGCCCCACCACTGTTGTATCATCTGCAAATTTTGGCTCCCTTTGAGTGCAGTCCCAGTTACAAGACATTTATAAGAGTTATTAACATTATAGCCTGCTGTAAATAGTCCCGTAAACCCTTCTGTCTCTCTCTCTGTCTAGGTGGTGTTTTCTCGAGTCGCCCGGGTTTGTAAGAACGATAACGGAGGTTCTCCTAGAGTTCTGGAGAGATACTGGACTTCTTTCCTCAAGGTGATGTCACCCTCTGATTCTTAGCGTGTTCTTGAATGAAATCAATAAAAGAATGAAGTCAACTCACACTGGAGCTGATCTTCACAGTGTGAAGCTGTTGGAGTCTATTATCTGCATGTTTCAGGACACCTTGCATCATTACACTCATTACTGTCTGTTCAGGCCCGTCTGAACTGTTCGGTTCCCGGAGACTCGTTCTTCTACTTCGACATCCTTCAGTCTCTCACCAATGTGCTGCAGATCAACCAGAGACCTGCGGTGGTCGGAGTCTTCACCACTCAGGCCAACAGGTACATGAGAAAGAGTGTGTACTTCTGTCTTTGTGAGGACCAATGAGAGTCTAACATCTTAAAGTGAGGACATTTTTTTGAAAGTGAGGACATTTTCCTTTATTTATGTATGAACTCTCCATGTGCTTCCAGTGAATTATCTCTATGACTTTTCCCTCAGTCTGGATTACATGATGTGTGTAATTCTGCAGCTGTCATCGGGTCTAAAATCATTTCATTTTAATGTTTTCAGTCTTTTGGAGTTTTTTAGTTTTGGTTTAGTTTCATTTGGTTCATTCAGTGTAGGTTAGAAGTTTCATCCTCACATGAACAAAAGTCTTCTGAATATTATGACGAATCATTGGCTTGTTAATGGGGATTGTCTCTGTCGCTCTCTGCAGTATCCCCGGCTCAGCAGTTTGTGCTTTCTACATGGACGACATAGAGAAAGTCTTCAACGGGAAGTTCAAGGAGCAGCGGACCAGTGACTTATCCTGGACTCCGGTACCGGACGAGCAAGTTCCAAGACCAAGGTGAGACACTAAACAGATCATGGGCTCATCAGGTTTATCTAAATCCAAAAGAAATGTGTTTCTGTGTGACACATTTAAGAATTACTTGTTGATTTGTTTGTCTCCAGGCCTGGTACATGTGCAGGCGACGGTCCGGCTGTGGACTACAAGTCGTCGATTCAGTTCCCAGACGAGATGCTGACGTTTATCAAGTCGTATCCGCTGATGGACGAAGCCGTTCCCTCCGTCAACGATCGGCCCTGCTTCACCAGGACCTCCAGCAGGTAACACAAATGGAACTACTATATACTATACTATATATTGTAAGTGCTTGATTCCAGTGGGGACGGCTGCAACGCATCTGGCAGCAGTGAGTGGATCAAGCTGGCAAGAAGCCAGCATAGACAATTTTCAGTTCAAATTAAAACACTGTCTGCAGACCCTGATTGTAAATACAGATATATACCATAACACTTTAACTACTTACTAATGGTAGAAACACATAAATGTCTGAGCAAGTTAACAAAACCTGGTGGGCAAAACTCTCCACTTCTGAAACGCTCCTGGTTGCAGATGCAATGTCACTGACCTGTGGCCCGGTGGATTTAAAGCATATGTCCCCCAGATCCTCAGGGGCAATTTCATGTTTCTAAAAAATAAAACTCGCATCACAAAACCTCTGTAATACATGTGAGTTTGCGTTAGCTAATGTTGAAGCGTTATTTAGCCCCCTTCCTGACATGCTAGCATGACATGGTTGGTACCGATGGATGCGTTAGGGCATCTAGTTTCATATGATACCAGTCACTCTAAAGCCATCAATCACATACTGGTGGTTATCCTCTTCACACATACAGTATGCTTGCTTTATGTATCCATGATCACCTAATCTATTAAAACTGTTACAACAGTGCAGATATTGACTCATCACTAGTGGGTTTTTTTTTCTCCCAGAACATTAAAAATATCTCAGACACCACTGATTTTATTATAAGTGCTACTTTTATTATTGTCTGATTGATAGCGGATGATAAGAGGACTTTTTCTTCCTCTCTGCTCTGCTACTCTGTGATGGATCATTACATCTGCATTTTGTGTTTGTACACATTTACGTGCGGCTCCGGTACAGCGATTTACAAGACGCAACAGTAAAATTATCTCCATCGTCAAATGTCAGAGCCATTGAACTGTAGAGTCATCGTCACTGTCATGGGAATTTTTAATATATCTTTGCACCTAAATGTAGAAATGCATCTGAAAATAAATCTTTAGTAAATTTAATTTCCACAATCAGCAGCATCCAGCAGTAAGTCAGGTTCTGGCTTTAGTCCACACAGATAACAAGAGGAACAAAATACTCCTGGAAGCCTAATAGAGAAAAGAGATCCGAGATGTCAAGAGGAAAGTGGAGAATGTCAACTGTACCCTGAAGAGGCAAGTTTTAAAGTTATAGCTGCTCTGAGGGGCAGCGAATCCACCATCCCGACCTGAAGCGAAGTAGGATAATCATTGGTATCAGCTTTGATTAGTCGTCAGCTCACAGGAACTTCTCTCTCCCTCTCTCTGTCTCTGCCTTGACGCTCTGAAAATCTCTGACCTTTTATAATCTGCGTCTGCAGGTTTCGAATGAGTTTCTGATGGAGTCTAATTACCAGCCTGGAATAGGAATGAGACTCTTAATTCCATGTTCGAATTAGCCTCCGCTCTGGAAGGGCCCGAGCTGACCTAGATAATGATAATGTCGATGTCCAAGGGGCTGCACCGATCCACTCACTTTGTTATATAATACGAGTCTGGGACAGTCAGAGCAGTCTGTTGTCATGGACAGCTGTAAATGTCCTCCATGTACAATAAGTTATTGCCTGCATGCCCTAAACCGACAAACACTAGCCCTAAGCCCAGGTAGACAGATTTCTGCCTGTTTTTGGAGTTATTTATTTGAAGCTACCCTTCATGCCTATCAGCAAGGATTAAAAATGCTCTCAATCTCAATCTGTTTTCGAAGTTGGAATCAGGGTTTATATTATTCTGATCCTGATACCAGTATTGTAAATACCTCCGATATAACCTAAAATGCAGGATTGGGTATCGGAGAGTATGCAAGTCTTTGCACCGATCCGTAATGTGTACTTTATTTGCCCCGAAATGGGATCTAGCTACGTCCTGACAGCAAGCATCCCATCCCATTTTTCTCCACGATAGCAAACTCACGACCCACCCTTACCCTAATATCTGAACCAATCTTACTCCTGATGCCCTAACCAACAAAGGTAAGGAGTACTAGCCAATTAGAGTAGGGTGGGTCATATGTGCTGAGCTGCCACGTAAAAACAGAAAACATCCGATAATAAAGCTCAAAAGTCTCCAATGAGAAAACACCACTCAAACTTTGTAAAAGAATAATATATCTGGAAGTTCATCCGACCTTTAAACAGAACAATGATGGGTACGAAATTTGTCATTTCTGAAGTGTTGCTGTTGGATTATTTGCAAATAAATTAGAATCATCAATTATTTCTCTTCAGATTTTGCAATAGATTTTAATAGTTTCACATTGTCAGTTTCATTACAAAGTTACTTTCAAGGCCAAATTGTGATTTTAGTTCCCAGGGGAACATTGCACATTTTATAAAAATATGACAGGGATACTGTCGATGATAATGGGTAATAAAGAGGAAGAGGTTTTGTTTTTATTGTAGTGGTCTTTGACATTACACATAAAGCAAAACTCTCTTCGCAACAGGAAATGTTTTATAGATTTTATAGTTTCTCACCAAGGGTCTTTTCTTGTCACTCCGAGGTCCAAGCTGACCCAGATCGTGGTGGATGTTTCGGCTGGTCCCTACAAGGACCGGACGGTGATGTTCCTGGGCTCAGACGACGGCAGAGTCCTGAAGGTTTTGGCCAGCACGCATCCCAACGACAGCTTTGGATCCAAACTGCTGGAGGACATTGATGTCTACAACCCGTCCAAGTAAGACCTGAGTGGAATATTGTAGTACTCGCCCTTCTGAATACTACAGCTGCTACCGCTGAACCTTTTAATAACCATGTTCATATAATCTGCTGTCTGTCTGTGTCCAGGTGTAACGTTCAGGGTCAGGAGGACAGGAGGGTTCTGGGACTGGAGCTGGATAAAGACCATCATGCTTTGTTCGTAGCCTTCACCAGCTGTGTCATCAGAGTGCCGCTCAGCCGCTGCACCCAACATGGAGCCTGTAAAAAGTAAGACAACAGGACTGAAACCAGCTTTCTTTTATTAAAACCAGATTAAAACGGCCCCCTTTCGATTCTTGTCAGCAGTCAGTTAAACACACTGTTAATAAGCCATTTTTCAGCAGTAGAAGCTTGAGTTTTCTGAAAAGTAGCAGCACAGACATCTGCAAAAGACTATAAATTTGTTAATTGTGGAAACCATCCAAAAATCAGAATGGGGAAATCTTTTTAAACATTAATCTACGGAGCTTAATTTGGCAACATAATCAATATTGTAGAAGCAAGTGTGTGCCGGGGGGAAATGGGAATGCCGAGTCTGAATAGTTAAATATGAACAAAAAGAAGCTCATTTATAGACTGAACAGAGCTCACTTCCCAAATTAGAGCACATTCATCACTGGAGAAGCGTGCACATACACACACACACAAACCCTCATAGTCACTAATCAGACTCATTTTAATTACTGAGTACGATGAATGAATGATGTGTTAACACAGCTGCAGAGGTACACAGAGGCTTCCACCAGCTGTGTCTCCATCACGGAAAAAAAGACGTAGCCACTCTGTATCTCTTCATCTCTGTCATCATCTGGGAGCAGAACTGAAGGCTTGAAAAATGGACTGAAGTTGGACTTGAGGACTTGGACTCACAGTAGGCGTGACTGCCTCCCTAAAAATTTTTTTTTTTGTAGTTTTGCGCTGGAACCATTAAACAGTATTGAAATTACTTAATCCCATTTATACTTAAAAAACAGTTTATTTATAACCTTGAAAGTGAAATGTTAAATACCAGATCAAATGTCTTAAACGGTCAACATTTAAAGACTTGACACGTCTTGTCTTATGAATGCAACTTCAGGGGACTTAGACTACTTGGACTCCTCTTGGATTTGAGATGTGAGTTGGACTTAATGTCTTAATTGACTTAAGACTTGATTTTTCTTAGTATTTACTGAGATGTGTCTCTAATGGCTTGAGATTTACCTCAGACTTGCATTAAAAGACTTGAAAGAAGACGTGAGACTTGTCACAGACTAGTCTAAAATTACTTAAGACCTGAATTGGACTTGCCATGAAGAACTTGAGTCTTGACTAAAACTTTGAGCATTGAGACTTGTCTCAGATGACATTAGACTACCTGGTCTGGACTCAAATGCTGGCGGTTCCATTTGCCCTGAAGAAGTTTAGATTTGACTTCAGCCTCAAATGTAGACCTGTCAGGAAGGACTTGAATTTAGACTTGTTCTTAAGACTTGAACTTGACTTGCCATCAAGAACTTGAGACCACACTTGGAGACTTGGACTTGGTCTTCACTAGAAACTTATCTTGAGTTACTTGAGACAAGAACTTGACACTTACTCTCAGACTCGAGTCATGACTTGTCTCAAATCACTTGAGATTCGACATGGCCTGACTGACTGAAGCCTTTTGCTCCTCCAGGGAGAAAAACCTCTCTCAGTTATTTTGAGATCCCGCCAGTTGATCCCTCTCCCTGACATTTCAGCCTGGGCACCTCTTGGGCGAGCCTTTGTCCTCGTTCCTTATGGGTACCACTTCATCTTGTCTCAAAGCCTGTCACCCATTACCAGTTCATTTTGTTCACACACTTTGCATGCCAATCACACAGTTCACAGTCAGGCCAGCCAAAACAACTGTGTGTGTGTGTGTGTGTGTGTGTGTGTGTGTGTGTGTGTGTGTGTGTTAGACAGTTGTCTATTCAGACACACACGTGGCATCAACCAATACAGAAGAAAACTCTACATCCTTCCCTCTCTCTCCCTTTTTTGTCTCTCCATCTGTTTCCTCTTTCTCTCTTTTGTCTCTTGGCATTTCAATGTTGTAAAGCCTCAATCTCATTCGCTCTCTACTGTTTCCTCTTGTATCACCTCTTTCTTCACTCTCCGCCTTTCTTTCGTCTTTCCATCTCTCTCCTATTCCATCTTTCTAGGTCTCTTTCTGTCTTCCCTTTATTCTCTGTCAATCTCCATCCTTTCTTTCAGTCCCTCTCCCTCCTCCTGTCTCTTCCTACTGACGCTGCTTTAAATAGTTTTGGATCAGTTGTTACTGCGTTTAAACATTCATTTTTCTGGAGGTTTTTGTTTTACTTAAACATACAGTCTGTAATTTCTGCCACTAGGGGCTCTCTCATATCCAAACAATAAGAAAAGATATAGTTTGATGAGGTGGTGAAGCAGCATGGGATCATGGGAGTTGTTTGTTGTTTGTTGATCGTTTGTTGTCTTCACCACCATTGCCGTCATTGCAGTCAGCTCCGGTTAGGATTCCTTCAGTGTTCGTGGTTCAGGAGGTTTCTACCGGGAGCCCAATGATCCACAGAGGTCTCCTCCTCTCCAACACAAACAGACCCGCTGATTAAAACCACTAAACACACTGAATAAAGCAGTTCCACCTTAAACACACTGAATAAAGCAGTTCCACCTTAACAATCACTGCTTCTCCCACGCTGTTGGACAGACAAAGGACGTCCCGGAGGGGCTGCGAGCCGAGCTGCTGCTAACGTTAGCTCAGCTTGTTTCTCTGATAACTTAAGATCCAGACGTCCGATGACTAAAATCCTTCATCCAGTTCAAATCTAGAGTTAAAAAGCACCAAGATCTAAACAGTGGATGGTAAACAGTCAATGTATGACAGCTTCTGGCAGACGACCACAACGCTGATGCAGGCACAAAGGGGGTATGGCGCCATTGACAGGCGACCGGTGAAACGCAGCGTTACCTGAATAAAATGACGATGAGTTTGAGCGGTGTTGGAAACATTTGGGATAATGTAAGTATACAACAATATTGATTCACACTCTTCTTCTCCCCCTTCAGAGCCTGTCTGGCCTCTCGTGACCCATACTGCATCTGGCTGCGGACTGGGAGCTGTGCCAACATGGCTCCAGGTTTCAAGTACGTGTCACTTCCTCTTTGTCACTCTCTCTTTTCATTTTTTTCTCTCTTTCCTCTCAGCCGTCATCAATCCGACAGCTAATAAAGTTTTGACGGCTCTGCTCGTATATCTGCCGCGGCGGGCAAAGGCTCGTATATCTGAAAGATGTAAATCCATGATGCCTTTCACGCTCGCAGCCAAAGTGAAAGGACGGATGGGGAAACATAATGGGAACAAATGTAAAAATGGATGTCAGCGGGAATGTACTGCGTGCACTTTGTCGGTATAAATCTCTTTTTATAAAACTTTGTTGAAAAAGACTCATAATGAAGCTCGGTTTGTTCTCTGAGTGCAGTAAAGATCCAGGAGCAGGAGATTACACTCCTTCCACATCTTATTTAGCTTCAAAGTTAGTTTTTCGTCATTTTCTGACACACTCATTAGCCACTTTGTTAGATACACGTTGACATGTCAGGTCGACATGACAGCATCACACAGCGGCTGCCGATTTGTCACTCACACATCTCATTCCAGCTCTTCATAATCAGATCCTTTGCTTGTGGAAGCGTCTGCACACCGAGCTTTGTGACATGGCGCGTTATCCTGCAGTCAATACCCAGCTAGAAATGTTCGGCTCTAAAAATGTTCTGAGAATGTTACCATGCAATGTTCTGCTGATGTTTTCAGTGGGAAGTTTTTTTTAGTTATAAAAGAACATCCCATCTATAACATTACCAAAGCACCCTCTGAATGTTCCATTGTTTACATGTCACTTTACAGAAATGTTGTCGGGCATCTCAGGCCTTAACGACATCTTTGAAACCTTTTCCAAATGTTGGCCTTGGCTCTCACTCATTTCCTCCACAAGCTGTCGTCACTCTCTGCTCGGGTCACATTACAAGAGGCTGAGCTGTCTGTCTCCACATTGTCGCTCTCCCTTGATTTCTTTTCACTAGTGCAAAAAAAAAGCAGAAATCTGAAACTGTTCTGAAAACTCGAGTCGGTGTGTAAACGTGATGACGTGTTTATCTTAAAATGTGCTACAATTTCGACCTTCTGGGTCTGAAATGTAAAGCCAATGTGGAAGAGCCTTAAACCTGCATTTGGCTGGCAGGGGTCAGCTCTACTGGCTGCAGTGTTGAGTTTAGAGATCCACAGCAAAGAACGCTGCGTATTAACACAGTAAACAGTTTGTCACGGTCAACAAACAGATTATTGAGTCACTCATCAACTCTCATAAAGGAAGTGAGTCATGTTCTTGTTCACCGCTCTATAAATAGTTAGATTGATATTTAAAAGCAAACAGGAAGCGTGTGGTGTTTACATGCTGGAGGTTTGAGATCCGATAAGATGAAGCTTTGATGATCGTCAGGGGAAACAGTTTTCCCAGGAGACGCTCAGCTGAGGGATTGTTTCAGAGTCCTGACTCTGCCATACAGCCGGCGTGCCGAGCATCAGTGCTCGGGTGGCTCTTGATCACCGATCTGCGCTGTTGCTCACACAACCTACGTCCCTGCAGTGTCGACTCAGGTGATGTGCCTCGTTCCAGACCAGGCGGCAGCAGCTGAGCGGCACCGGCTCCGAGAGTTCCTACAACAGACACGGGAAGGAGCAGAATGACGGCACATAAACACATGTTCAAGGACCACAGTTCATCCTGCTGCGTTGTAAACATCCTCAGGGTCACTTGATGAAAAGAGCTAAAAGCTGCTGCCTGATGCTCATTTCAGTCACAGAGCATCAAAGCTGAGATAACGTAAAAACCTGATCAAACATCCCAATGAAACAGGAAGCAGAGAGCCGTTTGCTTCCTCATATTTACATGTTTCTTATAAAAACAGGCAGCTAGGGCAGGACTTGTCACAGATATTGATTGGCATTCACAGCAGCCAATAGCGCTGAGTGTGTTAATCCCTCACTTGGACCCAGCAGGACTGACACAGACGGTGCTAGTCTGACAGTACCGAGGTGGTTTTCTTGCCGGGTTTGGCTCCTCGTATCCCGGGACTGAGTCAGTTAGGTTAGCTGCATGGCTGACCGAGCTAAAGTGCTTTACTACTTATCAATCTTTCCAACAGATTCATTGGTTAGTTGGCTAGCAACAGTGTTTGTTTTTTGGGGCTGGAGCTCACTGATTACAGTACAAAGACAACTTTATCAGTGATTTGGGTGAAACTGGATCCCTCCGGCTGCCGTTAACAAAGCTAAATTAGCTCAGCTTAGCTTATGCTGTTAGCTTGGGCAGCTAATGTTAGCTAACTTAGCCCTGGCAGAACCCAAAACCAGCAATAAAACCACCCCAGTACTTTATTCAAACTGTCCTCCGTCAGCATCAGATGCTGCATTCAGTCCCGGTCTGGACCTGCTGTTCACTGGGAGCTCCCAGTCCGACAGAGTCAGCTAATGGGTCCGCTGGGGGGGGGGGACGTTGCTCACAGCGCTATTGGCTATTGTAACAGGTCCCTCGCTAACTGCCGTTCTCTGGTTTCTGTTTCATGTGGACTTTAAAGTTAAAAGATAAACAGCTCTGTAACTATAACAAACTGTGATGGTGACACATAGTTTAAACACGTCTTTATTTTCCTGTCCTTTATCATGTGCAATGAGTTAATATGGGCCGATCTGTCCGTGAGGTTGTAGTCCTGGATGCTGCGTTGCTCGTCTTCCACAAAAGCAGAAACTGGTGCACTTGACTCTCATGTTCGTCAGTGTCGTCAGATCTCAGCGTTAAAGCATCCAGACAGTTGAATAGAGTAAATGTAAAAGTTCTGTATAAGATCCAATCTTAAATACTTCAAGGTTGTAGGACCTCTGATCCTTTTAGTCACTCTGGCTGAAACCTTGACTGATATAAGAACATAAATGTACCCGTGCAGCCATTACGAGGACTGTCATGTGTTTACTTCGTCTCTCCTGCAGCGGTGGACAGAAAAACAACTCTGTGTTGGCTGTCGACCTGCAGGAGTTTATAAATAATGATATTTACAGACAAGGAGGCTGCAGATGCTGTGCTGCTCTCCCAGGATTAAAACAACTCCTCCCCCGGAGAGACAAATATGAAAATAATATCTCTTCGATTTGTGCGAGGGGAGCGGAGGAATGGCAGAATAACCGGCGGGTTCGGCCGCAGATCGATGGTCATGAAGTGTTGTGGAGTGGGCGCGAGCTACCTGACACTTTGGAGTTATTGATTGGAAGGTGGCGCGAGGGAACACATTTGATTTCACAAGCCACTTGCTGCAGTGTGTGTGTGTGTGTGTGTGTGTGTGTGTGTGTGTGTGTGTGTGTGTGTGTGTTATGCTGCTAAAATCTCATCTTGTCTCGGCATATTGATGGACCCGATCGCAGAAACACGGGGGGATTTCATCTTCAGGCTCGACTCTCGTGTCTTGAATTTTGAGTCGGACTAAAAGCATTGGGGAGTTTAAAGAAGCACCTAAAGGAGTTTCTCTGCAGGTTTTAGCCCATTAACTTTAAACCATCTACACTTTAAATTACTGAAGAAGCTTTTCCCAAATGTAATATTTTTATATACACAGTTTGGGGTCAGGATTCGGTGTGACAGGGAAAACAAAAGAAAAACATTAGATTAAATTAGATTTATATCATTTTTGGCACATATTATTGACCATATTTTTTGGCACTGTTTGTAACTATAGATAGATATAGATATCTTATTCTTTATTTGGTTATTTCTCACATGCCTTAACCTTAAAAACATGTAATTACTGGTTGACAGTTTCCTTTAAAAGGTGTTACAGTATGTATAAGGTCTTGTATATCTGAATAATTCAACAAAAAATAATACCTGTAAAGAGAAATGAAAACAACACTGAAAATAACCAGCTATCAGATGTACGTACCTGGCTAACAATTAATGTAGATTAGCTCGTTAGTTAGCTATTGTTTTTCTCTGTAACAAAATGCTAGCTAACTAGCCAGAAAAGGGGCGGAGCATAGAAAGGGTTAATTAATAAATGGATGGTTTCTAGTCTACTGACTACTCAAAGCACACACACATGCATACACTGACGGCAAGGTGCCAGCCGTTCATCAGGAGCGGTTAGGGAGTTCATCGTCTTGCTCAAGGACACTTCGGCACTCACCCTGGAGGATCGATGGCCATGCTGCCTCTCAAATGGAGGGTTTAGCTTGAAGAAAATCTTTAGGATTGTAACTTAAAGGTCTTAGATTTTGTCATTTAGAATCAGATTGATACGCAGCAGTGGCTCCCTCACAGTTTCAGTGCAGCTCTTCAGATTTTCAGCTTTTGTTTTATAAATTGAGTCTGTCTCTGCGCTTCAAGACTTCCATCAAACGTGAACACAATCAATGTCAAACACAAATATCCCAGCAGGCATACATAATCCCTATATGGATCCACACTCGGCCTGAATGTGATGTTCTCCTCGGCTGACAGCTCTTTATATTCGCCCGTCTCCTCTTGATGTGTCTCTTCACATCGATCTATGACTCATGAGCCTCTGGGGGGGGGTCGTGTGTCTTTTCTGTGAAAGATTCAACTTTTCATACACTGTTGGTCAGACGAGCAGTTCAGACGAGTCAGTTTGTTTAAAGCTGGTTAGCAGAGAGCTAATTAGCTGATTTTAATGTTTCATCTTTTTTCATCCCAGTTGAAATGGAAGCAACATACAACCAGATGGATTTTGGTAAAATTGTTAAATTGTTATATTTTACTATGCAGGAATATCCTAATGCGCCATGACGTACTGCAAGTTGAGCTACTCTCATTAAGTAATTACAGTGATTGGATTATTAATTTGTGGGTTTAAGAAATAATATTGCTCCAGTGATCCCTGTTAAAACTATATTATAGATCTTTTTACTTAGACATACTTGTCATTTGATTTGGCAGAATGTTTCCTTGTTGAGCAGCTGAGGGGCCGAAACACAAAGACAGAATTTCAAACAGTTGACATACTGGGTTTTGAAAGGTTTGAAACAGCGGCAATGTGCAACAAGTGACAAGAGCTCCTGGGGAGATATTGATTAATTTTGA